AAAATAAATAAAAATGATTGTCTTTGCCATCATCTAATGCTCACTTAAAGGAATAGTTCACCCAAAAATGAAATTTCTGTAATCATTTACTCACCCTCAAGTTGTTCCAAACCTGTATGAATTTCTTTCTTCTGCTGAACACAAAAGAGGATATATTGAAGAATATGGGTAACCAAACAGTTGATGGGCCCCATTGACTTCCATATTTTTTGTTTAGTTTTTTCCCCATCAACTGTTCAGATACCAGCTTTCTTCAAAATATCTTCTTTTGTGTTCAGCAGAAAAAAGAAATTCATACAAGTTTTGGAACAACTTAAGGGTGAGTAAATGATTACAGAATGTTCATTTTTGGGTGAACTCTCCCTTTAAAGTTTTTTTTTTTTCACGTTTTTTAGCCAGTGACACTTAAGTCACATTTTAAGTGTAAATTACAATACAGTCTCCTGACAACTATCTTAAGTTGGCAAATTGCTGGCAAATTTGTATGGATTTGTATGTATGAATATCTCATTCCAGCACATTCCTCACTGACACTTACGGTATGTTTAGGGGTGGGTTTTTTTTTTTTACAAATCATATGCTTTCCTACTAATCACATTATACGAACTTGTACGAATTTGCAACTTCTTAAAAAATAAAAAATAAATTTATCAGGTCAGTAAAGTGTACTAGCAAATACTTTTGGGGTTCCTGCAGCAAAAACTCTGTACAAAAAAAAAACGATGTTATGGTTCAAATCCATAATCCAGTCTTTAATATTGGTTATTTTGCAGAAGAAGATGAAGAATACATCTACATGAACAAGGTCATCGTCACAGGTCAAAACCAAGACCGCACAGACAGAGGTGAGTCTATAATATTCCTTACAATTAACTTGTAAAACTTTTGCAGGTGTGAGGATGAAAATATCCCCTAACCTGCAAACATGTCTCTCACATATCACAGTGGTTTATCTTGCTGTTTGACAGCGCTGCTGTGAATGTGTCATGTTTAGGGGGGTGATTGGGTTATGGTTGAAGTGTTAAGCCCCCCCCCATCCCCCACTCCTCACCATTTCCTGTCTGTTTCTCAGTAACTCCTGTCCTCCTCTCGCTCTTTCTGCCAGACCCCCATCTGAGGCCAAGCTGCTTTGTTTAGATTTCACTAAAGAATGAGAGTAACAATAAAACCAGACTTAACATTCACATCGCAGTCGTCTACATATCCAGAAGATACATGCATGACTAAACTGCGGTGGTGTTCTGTGATTAGATTTGCAAACGGCACCATTTTAATGAACAAAATTTTTAAAAGGCTTATCAGGAGAACAACCCTTTGAGTTTCAGTGTTGTGAAGAGGGACTTTTTACAATGTAATTTCATAATTTCCTGCCCATATGTGAAAATGTCTACTACCTTGTGCTATTGGCATCTGATAAATCAATAATAAATATTAGTCACTAATGTGAAACATCATATAAGCTCACGTAGACCAACAGGGAATTGTAAGTGGTGAGAATTGAATTGAATTTCAGTAAAAGGCATCACTTGATGTCGTCCTGACTCCTTGGTGACTCTTAGCCCTCGCTGTGCGGGTTTGGTATTTGCCTTGCGTTCCTACAGCAACCCAGATGTTACCGTTTGGAGAGGAAGTTGAAGGAATGTCTGATGGGACAGCTCTAAGAGACTGCCGCAGGCTAACCATTGATACCAGAACCGAGCCGAACAGCAGAAATATTATGTCTACTTGTTGCTTGCATACACATGCTTCTTTTTGATGCACATGATGAACCCTTTGAAAAGTATTTGATCTATTCATTAACAGCCACTGTTGTTCTGTGTGAAAATCTATATGCTTGTCAGACCACAGACCAGAAGCCAATGGAGAACCAGGAAAACACCAGAGCCCACCAGAGCCGCCTCCTCCTAGACCAGTGAGTGACCCTCAGCATCATTTCAACCTCATTTAAACAAAGCATTAGCACGAAGACACTGAAAAAAAAAATCAGACAACAACCAACACAGTTCAATTTCAAACCTAATGTGTCTTAGGATGTTAGTAAGACAAATGCTATACTAAATGTAATCTACTTTTAGGGTTGGGTGATATAGTAAATTGACAATAGACTATAGTATAGTCATTTTCAGTAGTTTCAATTCATTGAGTCAAAATTCAGCGATTCAATAATCAATAATAAGATTAACTAGATTTTTGCTGTATTTTACTATTCTATTTAGCTACAGTTGCCGTTACTTTGGTTGAAAGGAAACAAATATATTGGGATTAGGGCTTGACATTAACTTTTTTGCTCACAAGCCACTGTGGCTAGTGGTTTTCCAAAGTTACTAGCGTATTTGTTTCGCAGAGTGCGCATAAAACCATGGCGAGGTATGTACGAACGGGACGCACCGAGATGAAAGCGCAGACTGCCTGTCGCGGGAACTGAAAATGGCAAAATGCGCTTTTCGTGTCATGCATATGCATTCATGGGATGGTCAAGGGGAAAGTGGGAGTGTCACATAAAGAGATGGGAGGGGAAGTGTAAACTGCGCCTAATTATGTATTCCGCGTTATGTACAGAAAAAGGCGGTGAAAGCGTGCCTCTATTTTGCGCCGAAAATTCTCCGCCTCTTAAAAGCAGGTGTAACTTAGGAAGCAGGTTTCCTGGCATATGCCTCCTGGTGAAATGGCAGCAGTAATCCGAGCAAGACGAAGACATAGGCTAAGGAGACGAGCTGAAAAGATTTTTGCCACAAGAATCACACTTTTTCAGTTAAGTGAAAACGAAATCATTAAGCGTTACAGATTAACTGTATGTTCACACCGCCGCCGACTTGAGCTTTCAAAGCGGCCGGAAGTCATTCATTTTCAATGGAAGCTGGCTTCTCTCAGCTGCAAGGAGCGTCAAATCCATCGGCATCGCGTTTTGTTACCATGAAAGAAGCTCAACTTTATGGTAATGAGCTATGACGCGGTTCAGCGGCAAAACGCCAGCAACCAATCGGAATATAGACGTCCTTCGCGCTGGCTGATTCCGGAGAAACATACAATGTAAACTTTCGTTCCAAGTTTCGAACTAAAACATTAGTTCCGAGAAAATGGAAGAGAAGCTAATAATCGCCGTTGCTGGGTTTCCTACAGGCTTCCTATCATTTATGACATGATGTTGTTTGCTTATAGGGACCGCATGAGCGCAACTTTTATTTGAAATATTTACGAACGCTCGTTTTAAAGCATTTGCTCACGGTGACACCGATTTGACCAATTGCATTTATAGCCTAATGCAAATAATAATAATAGCTAACTATTCTTTTTTTTCCGACCAAATGTGACCAAAACGGTTATAAAAATGCTGTCATTATAAAAGGTTTCTTCAATGTATTGCTTGTTTTTTTCTCTTTATTACATTTCATGTTGTGACACTTCTATTCTCCCTGCAACGTCAGAGCGTTCAAAGCATCAACAAGCTTCCCCGTACTTTTTGACAAGCGTCCTTGACAGGGCGGCCAGAGCTTCTTTGACGCTCAAGTCGGCGGCGGTGTGAACGTACAGTTAAGCAGTTAATACACAATATTACAGTTACTTGAGGAAATCAAAGATGACATCAAATCTCCGACTCAGCGTTCACATTCCATTCCAGCAGTTGTTAAACTCCTCGCTACATTACAATTATTGGCATCAGGATCATTTCAAACAGTCATAGCATCAGCAGTGAGAGGAGGAGGCCCATTCAATTGCGCGTTTAAATACGTGCAATTTACGGTATAGTGGGTGGGGACAGGCGCTGATTACCTGATGAACTGCAGGTTTGGTACATAACACGCACACTGCGGTTTCACATCAAGCGTCTGCCTCTTGGCCATGGCGCTATTAATGCTGCGTTTGCAAATGTACGTACATCTGGCTCTCAGCATTTTCACTGGACACAATTTTAGTTATTTAGTTGGAGTGTTACACGGCACTGCTGAAATCCACCCACATTTAGCTGGCTCGTGGGCGGTAATGTCAAGCCCTGATTGTGATGTACTGTATATTGAATATTATCAAAAGTATCAACATTTTTTTATGAAGCCTACATATAATGTCTTATGTTATATCGCACAGCCCTATCTTTTTTCAATCACACTAACTACTACAATGCAAGACACTGTGGTCATGCTGTCTTTTATTATCTGCTGTCTACTTTCATTTGGGCCTTTTTACTTACCACATATCTGTTATGTATCTGTTTCCCACGCTCAAAAATACTGTGTTTTTGTTTATAAGCCACACACAAGCCACATAACTAGTCCTGCAGTTTGATAATCTGCCTTGATTAGAAACAGTAATCACCTTAAAACATCACGTTTTTTTTTTTTTAGATGAGAGAAATATGAGGAAGTTTTTGTGCTGAAATAATTTGTAGCTCCTGTATCAATCCTAGGTTGCTGTGGGAGTTTGCAGTCAGTCAGACATACAGACAGACAGGAGGATGGAGAGCATTAAAGCTCTCCAGTGAGAAGACTTTGAACTTCAGAGCCATCTGCGGGGTGCTGGGTCTGATTAACAGCAGCTGCACAAGCGTTTGGGGAGCTGTTTATAGAGGCTAGAGAACCGCAGTTAGAGCATGGACACGTGTGCATATGTGTGGGAATGAGAGACGGTAGATGTGTTCACACCTATTAAATGAGTGTTTCTCTCATTTGCCATAGAGTAGACAATATGCATAGAGAAAGTTTATTTATTGGTTATAACATTAGATTCATTTGAAAATTCTGTCATATACTGACATATGCATATATAATGTCATATAATCATATACTCACTCTCGCGTGTTCTAAATCTGGCTTTTTTTCTTCTATGGAACAAAAAAGGAGAAATATTTCAAATGTACCTGCCACTCACTTTGCATTTCCCCATTTTCTTTCATTGTGTGGAAAACAGTGTACAATGTATTATTTAAAATATCTTCCTATGAGCTCAACAGAAAAAAAGAAAGTCAGGTTTAAAACGGCATGAGGGTAAGTAAATAATAACAGCATTTTCACTTTTGGATGTACCACTCTTTTAATTACAATTGCAAATGAAACAACGGATTGATCCACAATCCCTAAAGTGGATGATTAGCCTCTACCAAGTCTTCCACACATTCCACATTGGCATTCATCTCCAATGCTTCCTCTGCATCACGTTCCTCCTGTGTGTCTTTGTTCTTGGGCAGTCTAAGTAAGCAGGTCCAAAGCGAGCCACTTTTTGGAAAGCCAGTCATCTGTCTGCGAGGCTTCCACTTGTCACCACAAATTACATATTCCAGGGTCAAATTGCGGTTGACGGTGAATGCAGAGTTCCCCCTCACCATAGCTGTGAAGAGGGCACCCCTGCTATTGACGTAGTGTCCTGGCATGGCCGTCCATTGACCCGTAGTGATGTTGTAGCAGTCCATGAGGCAGCGCAGGAAGTCATCACATGGGCCGTTCCTCATGACATACAGGTTGTCGCCATGAGCCACCATGCAGTGTCCGTAACTCTGAGGCTTGACCATAGTGGTGACCAGTGTCCATTCATCATTTTTAGGTGCGTATTCATAAATGTCTGTTGTATCTGGAGACTTCCAGAAACATACAAATATCCTACGCCTGGCAACAGCGCTAGCCGGCGAAGCCACAGAACGAGGCGCGTTCTTACAAAATGTCCACGTGCCTGTGGAAACATCACATGCTTCTACCGAGGACATAATCTTTTTGTCGAATTCACCTCCGATGGCATACAAGTGTCCATCCTGACCCACGAGGGTAAAGTTATACCTGGACTGCTGAGGACCATCAAACACACTCCAAGTGTTGGTTTCTGTGTCATAACAGAAGCTTAAGTCCACAGTTTCCTTGCTAACTCCCCGTACTCCTCCAACGATATACAACCGGTTCCCCACGATGGCCACCCCGGCCATGGAGGTGCTGGCGTCTGTTGGCAGATCAGTCAGGTGTTTCCAAGTACCCGGTTCTTCATCGAGGTAAAACACCGTCCTGTAGCAGTCCTGCAGCATCTTCATGGACGGGGAATGAGTCCCTAGAGAGACAAACGATGTTGGTGAAAGCGACTCCACGTAGCAGATCAGCTCCTCTGGGAGTGCCTTGACCATGTCTTGCAGGTCAGTGTAAGCATCGCGGATGAACACCGCAGCGCTCTGAAACAACCTCCACAAGCCGTACACCGATGCCGTGTGGTACAAAAGAATGCAGTTGTCGGTATCAAGAAGGTCTATCAAGTGCTGGACTAGAATATCCACTTGGAGGAAAGCTGCACACTCTGCGGCCTCCACGATCTCATCTGGGTCTTGTATAGCAGGCCGCTCACCCCTGGAAACCGCCATGGCTATGAGGAAGCCCCTCGCTTTCAGGCCTCCCTGCAGGTGGAACTCGTTCAGCTGGCTGTCCTTCATCCCAGAGCGGAAGAGAGCACGGAAATACTCACAGTTTTGCCCCAGGACGGCCCTGTCTATGGTGAAAACGCTCTCTTCTACCTGCACTCTCAGAACTCCAGTTGACTCTTCTCCTTGTTCTTCCTCATTTCCGTCTCTGCTCTGACCCAAACTGCAGGGAGGCCCCATAACACCTCTATCCTGCCTGTCCGTACCCAGATTACTTTGTACACGAACCATAAAGTTAGTGTTTCTGTTTAGGTTTGACCTGTAAACAGAAGTGTGCACATGCTGCACTCTCACAGCTACTTGCCACGCTAAAAATAGCAACACTAAAATAGCAAAGAGGCCACAGACTTCAAAATAGTAGTGGAAGATTTTCGGCACTAGTACTGAAAACAATTATGTTCCAATATAATGCTGGATTAATGCAATTTAAATTAAGTTGATTTGATTAAAGAATTGAATTAAATAATTTGACTGTAATTTCTTTCCACAATAGACTTGATTTGATCAGTTTTACCAGTGTTTTCGCCATGCTGGCTGTCTGTAATGACTCAAATACAGAAACCAATACATGAATGATGACAGTTCAGAGAGCCACTCCTGTTTTTAAATAAAGCTAAAAAGATTATTTTCCTTCAGTACCCCTCTCTACCTCAGAAGTGTTTTGGTCCTGGTGAGTTACATTTTTTTCTTCACTGAATTTTTGGCATGGGAACGGGGGATTTTCCATGTTCTGGGTGTTCTTTTGGTCTCTTGCCCACTTGCATTTTTTCACTTTCTGTCCAAAAGACTGGTGCTTTATCATTATTTATGCCTTAGACTTGAAATCTTTCCTATATAGACTACATTTGTTTTCTTTACTTTTTTTTTTTTCAAGCAGAAGATGGTATGATTTATGGATTAGAATATGAAAACAAGCCTGGGGTGGAGTTCAGTCTCAACATACAGTACTGAGATTTAAGGATTTTTCTTTTGCTCACAGTGATTTTTACAAGCACTTAGCAGCATATAAACAGATCTCACTGTTGTTATGGTTATTCTGGGATGTGGACATGGTCTTGATCCTCGCCAGTGGCCGGAGAAGAAGCAAAACTGAGTTTGACGCTACCCTGAAATGCCTTCTTTTTCTTTTTAAACATTGTCTGATGCCTGAGAACTCAGCACAGTTTTTTCCTGTTTCAAAGATTTAATGTTGAGTCTAGAAGAGTGAGGGTGGGATGAAGTGAGAAATGTTGGGGTCGATGTAAGAAAAACAATACTTTCTACACAGTTCAATCAGCATCTTCCTTCTGTGTGAGGCTGTTCTTATTTTCCCATCAAAACACTAACCATTGGTCCCTCTTGAATGTGTCTTTTACTCTTGTTCTGCATCACTTATCACAGCGGAGCCTCTAGCAAACTTTTGCATTCAACATCCTGTGTCCTTGACATCCAGTTGTTTATATTTATATGCCTTGCTATAACTTAGCCTCCCTGTTCGCCTCACTTCTGCTTTTAAGAAGCACAAGCACATCAAGTCAAGCAGGAGGTTTCAATCAAACCACTTAGTACAAGTAAAATGCAAGCGAAAGGAGATTTTCCCAGCCGCTTGTATGTAACCTCTTGCCATCATTCAACTTTATGGTTCACAAGCTACCGCTAACCCTCATCATCCCTGTGTGTCCATTAGTGTGTTTTTGGTGTGATGAGGAGAGGATCAGTTCTCTGTTTGCCCAGGGGCTGTCATTGCATTGTGTGTATCATAGGGGAATTTAGTAATGTTATGAACCGGCTGATTTGGGAAACCTCATAGCTAGCTCCACACCCTTTTAAAACCATTACTCCTGCAGGCAAACACGTGTGGAATCCCTATTCTAGCTGAGCAGGGCTGAGGTCAGGAAGATATCAGTTTCGAGGAAGAATCCCCCTTCGGTCAGAAAGAAAAGCCCACATGAAAGACAGGTGCAGAAACGACCAGGCAGGCTCATATCTGGGGAGTCATCTATCTGAGTCATTACATGAGAATGTATTAGAGATATTCAGCTCAGATGCAGCGTGTGGATGTGCGTGCTTTGCACATTTATGTTAATTAACTCTGCTGAAAAGATAGATTTGCATGCTGGAACAGGCTGGTTTATGATGGTTTTTGGTGGTCTAGCTACTGGACTAGCATAGTCATGAAGCTAATCAGCAAAACTTAGGGAAGCTATTTGACCTGCATGGTGTGGTAAAGCTGGCTGACCAAGGATGTTTAGCCTTGTTATTCCCTTCTGAAATTGACAAATTTTTCTTAATACACATTTCTGGTTATTCGTGCTTATTGTGAACAAATCATATATCTATGTGATTTTTAAGGGTGCTCTGATCGATCGGGCGCCGATTGTTATCAGCCGATAATTGTTTTATATAGTTTGATCGGTGGTCTCTATAAAGGCCGATCTGAAAAGCTGATCAGATGCCGCAAAATTTGTGAGAGAATTGTTTTTATGCGCAGCTAAAATTTTCAGACATTCTCTGGTCTGGCAGTTCTACCTGGTGTCTGAAAAGGACAATACATTTGCAATGTCATTACGGAGACTTTTCAACGACAATATATATATATATACAGTATATATCCATGCATGTGTGGGTATAATTTTGTGAGTTCTTTATATTTTATACTATTTTTAAAAAGTACAATAATGAATATTTATTTATTATTATTATTATTATTATTTTAATTATATATTTATTTGCTCCACCTCTGAACAGTTGATTGTAAACTCACATTCAGGAGACTGCACCCAACTGTAACTGCATTTGTAATTGGAAATACATAAAAATTGCATTATTATTTGATAAAATAATGAGAATGTTAACATAACATCTTTCTGTTTTTTCTCAGTGCAACTTAGGGAGGGAGCCCTTTCCTCTTCCACCAGCTCCTGCTCCAGCATCTTTAGTGCCTGAAAGTTACTATGAAGATCCACAACCCTATGACCCTATAAGCATCAATGGTACGTCTCGAATTGGGCCCAAAGGTCCCCCACATACAAATTATCTTCTATTGTTGATTGTTTTCTTTGATGTTCATGTCAAACCACTATTTAACCTGACTGGGTTACTGATTTGTGACTTCTCATTATTATTATTCTTGTTGCTCTTGTCCTATGAGAGTGAACCTGTGGTCATTGAGTGCTTTGTTTTAGCTCAGTCGCACTGTAGTCTACAGCTTTACTGTGATACAGAGAAGCCTGCAGGCAGGGAACTCAGAATACAGTGAAGGTCTTTGTTCAGCAGTAACCAGTCCTCTGGCTATGGACACGCAGTGATGGAAGATTGACCGTGAGCCCAGGAAATGGGGCCAACAGTGATGGGGCATTTGGCTGGAGGTCCAAAGTTCAGCCCAGCGAGGGGACAATCATTTACAATATTCTTCGGAAAATGACGTCTCATTTTGGTCAAAGGATTACAGAGGAATTATCATGCAGCTGTGCTGTGTAATATCAACACACAAGGGATGCGCGGGCCAAAATCTGAGATGTTTCGGCACTTGTTTCGGCAGCTGATATCAAGCCAATCCCCGTGGTTTAGGAATACGTTCTGACAGTGATGAAGCCCTAAAATAATTCAAGCATTACAACCACAAGACACAAATATTTAGTCTAGTCCAAGATATCAATATTGAGTTTATGCAATTCTAACAAACAATTCTCATTCAAATGCACTTGAAACACTTACTCTTCCTGTTTCTTTCATGTGACATGTCAGCCACATAAATGTTTCACTATCTGTAGCTTCTCACCTGATTTTTTTCTCTTCCTCCCTTATTGCATTTCCCCTTTTATTGTCCTCCTGTGTTTCTGTAGATTTTGGTTGCTTTGCCATCATCACAGGGGTCAGGAAACGCGTAGAAGCTTCAAACACTGTGGTCTATGCTGTGATCACTCGGGGTATCTATCTCTGTTTCTCTCAATGTGCATCAGGAGAGAAAAACAAAGAAACCGCTCTAACTTTATTGGCTACGGCGAAGCGCATGGCTCTGGGAAAACCTCATTGTTTAATGTATCCAAGTTTGAGGCCGCTGATTTTGCATGTGCTTGCTGGCTTTAGAGCATGCCGCACATATGCACTTTCACTTTTTTTACTGTGTATATATATATATATATATATATATATATATATATATATATATATATATGTGTATTATGTACTATATAACATATGTAAATGTAATAATTATAATAAATAATATAATAATTATATTGAAATAATGTAATATAATACATTTTATTATTGTGCATGTGCAGTGATAAACATATTAATATATATATACACAGTTATATCACGACACAGATCGACAGTTATAATCAAAATGATTCAACCCCCATTGCAAATCAGGTTAATTGGCAAAATTTGAACAAATGAACAAATCAAACAAAGTTAATTGAATTCCCTCAACACGACAAATGTTATAAGTGGTTCCCCTTAAATTCAACTAAAAATGCAACTATTAATGACTTCTTCAGTCTCAAAAGTGTTCAACCCCTTCATGGAAAGCATCTTTAGTACTTAGTAGAATATAATTGAGCTGTTTTGACCTTCTGCAAACCAGAAGGTCAAAACCTTGCCTTCTGGTTTGCAGCTTCTGGCAGCGTGTCTGAGGAATCTTAGCCCATTCCTCATGAGCAATGACCTCCAGTTCAGTAATATTATTGGGTTTGCGTGCTGCAACCGCCGCCTTCAAATCACACAAGATATTTTATATGGGGTTCAAGTCAGGTGACTGATGGCCACTGTAGAATCTTACAGGACTTCTTCTGCAACCAAGCCTTGGTGGAATTTGCTTGGGATTATTGTCCTGTTGGAAGGTCCAATGACGCCCAAGCTTCAGCTTCCTCACTGACGGCATGACGTTTTCTCCTAGGATTTCCTGATACTTCAATGAATCCATCTTGCCTTCCACACGCTGCTGGTTTCCAGTGCCAGAGGATGCAAAGCAGCCCCAGAGCATCACCGAGCCCCACCATGCTTAACTGTAGGATGTGTTCTTTTCAGCATATGCTTCACTCTTCTTCCTCCAGACATACCGCTGATCCATAGGGCCGAAATGTTCCAGTATTGTTTCATTGCTCTACAGAAGAGAATCCCAAAACTTCTGTGGCTTATTTATATGATTTTGAGCAAATTGGAGCCGACTTTTCTTGTGCTTTTGGGTCAGTAGTGGTGTACGTCTTCGATTTCTGGCATTGAAACCGCATGCGTTTTGTACACGCCT